TGTCCCCGCCCGGCCCCCGTCCTCCTGTTCGCGGCGCTAGACGCCCAAAGAGGGAGCGACAGAGGGAACCAGCTTCAGAAGACCCCAAACGCAGCCTCCACTCCTCCGGGCGCCGCCATCTTGTGTGCGAAGAGGTGGGACAAGAGGTGGGACAAGGCGGAGAGGAACAACGACCTCTGGCCAATCGTTGAGGAGTAAATACAGGCAGCTCGAGCTCTCATTGGCCCGTTTGAACGGCGCCCTAACAGATGTACTTCCAAAGTGAAATTTATTGAAATCTCCGCCCCTTGGAAGCGGTGATTGGTCTGTTGACGGACAGGGTCAGATACTACCACCTGGTTTCGCCCCCTAAAACAGAGCATATCTCGGAAGCCACTAAGTTTATGGGTTGTTCTGTTTTTCTGGCGGTGGAAAATGAGTTTGTTCGGCTCAGCTCGAAGGCCTCCGTCTCTAGGCTGGGGGCTAAGATGGTGCTGTCTCCACATCCCACTCAGACCTGCTGCCTCGTCCTCTTTTCATTTAATTATCCTATCATTTATTGCGCGCCTGCAGGGTTTGGGATTACAGAAACCAAGACACGCCACCTCCCAAGCAGTTCACATGCAAAGCAATGTTACAAGACTCCCAAATTGCCATTCCAAACTTTGCTCATAAGCAAGAAGAATGCCAAGTTTGAGTCCGGCTTCAGCAACTTAGTGACTTAGCCAGACCCTGTTCAAATAAAAAATTAAAATGGCAGATATGTGGCTCATTGTGTTGGTCCTAGATTTAATACCCCTTGCATGGTGGGAGGAAAAGAATTTTTTTTTTTCAAAAGTGTAATAAGCTGGGTACAATACTGCCCAAAAGCTGGAACTACCCCAAAGGCTGAGGCAGGAGGATAGCTTGAACTGAGGATTTTGAGACCAGTCTGGGCAACATAGCAAGGTCCACATCTCAAAAAAAAAAAGTTTGATTATTTTATTTTTTTAAATGTTATGATGAGTCAATATTGATACATTAACTGAAGTCCCTAGTTTACATTAGGGTTCCTTTATGTTGTACTTTTTAATTTACTTACTTTTCCAGGCATGGTGGCACACGACTAAAATCCCAGCACTTGGGAGGCTGAGGCAGAACGATCACAAGTTTGAGACCAGCTTGGACTACAAAATAAGTTCAAGACCAACCTGAACTACATAGTGAGACCCTGTCTCAAAAAAAAAAAAAAAAATAAAAAAAAAAAAAAAAAAAAAAAACTTAATTTACTTATTTTTCAGTTCTGAGGATGGAGCCCAGGGCCTCCTGCATGTTAGGTGAATGCTCTACCACTGAGCTGCACCCCAAACCCATGTCATTCACTGTGTAGGTTTTGATGTGTGTGTGTGCTGACATGTACAAATATGTACTATTACAGTGTTACACAAGACATCTCACTGTCTCCATCCCACTCGCCTCTCAAACTTCTGGCAACCCCTGAGGGTTTCCTCCCATAGTTGTGCCTCTTCCAGATCTCATGTAGTTAGGTAACACAGTACACAGCCTTTTCAGATAGGCTTCTTTCACATAGCAAGAATTTTTCTTCCACATCCATTCATGGCTTAATAGCTCTTTTTTCTGCTGAATAATATTCCATTGTGGGATGTACAATTTAGTTAGCCATTCATTTACTTAAAGACATCCTGGTTGCTTCCAAATTTAGACAATTATGAATAAAGTTTCTGTTATGATTTATATCTAGACACTACCCCCCCAGCTCCAAGCCTCATATAATCATAGGAGAACTTTGGTGAGGTGATTGGATCATGGATGTGCTGTTAAGTGGTGGGACCTGGTCAGGAGAAGGGGGTCCTGGAGGCAATGGCCTGAAAGGGTGTGTCTCCCTCCCTGGCTCCTCCCTTTCTGCTGGCTTCTTCACCAGCACCATGAGATGAGCAGCTTTTCCACCACCATAACCTCTGCCATGCCATCCTGCGTTGGAGCCTTCTGACCACAGACTGAAACATGAGCCAAAATAAACTACTACTCCCTTAGGTAGTGGGTGTCCAGTATTTTATCCCAGCAATGAGGAATGTGACTAAGATAGTTGTTATAAGCATTTGTGCACATTGGTGCAGATATGTTTTCAACTCATCTGGATTCTGGGTTGTAAGTATAGGAAATATTGCTTTTTTATACCAGGGATTCAACTTGGGACCTTGCGCTTGCCAGGCAGGCGGCAAAACCACTGAGCTAAATCCCTAGGCCCTGAAATTAATATTTTAAAAATCCAAACAATACACACAGGAAAAATTAATTAATTTGGCATTACAAGAAAAAGAATGTAGATACAAACTCACACAGGACACTGCAGTGAGCTCTAGACCTTCAACTAAATCCTTCAGTCTCCAGTGTGCAGAGAGATCCTCTGGATTCTTCTTCATCTGACATTGTGGATGGCCACTGACAATAACAAAGAGCTTTGGGCTCAGAAATAAGAAGATGTAGGGCCAGGGATTTAGCTCAGTGGTTCCAGCGCCTGCCTTGCAAGCGCAAAGTCCTGAGTTCAATCCCTGGTACCAAAAAAAAAAAAAAAAAAAAGCAGATGTGTTCTAAATAAGGGGCACATACTCATTAATCCTCACAACCACCCATAAAGTAGGGAAAGAAAGCACCAACATTCCCACTTTACAGATGAAGAATCTGAGGCCCAGAGAGCTTTTGTAGCTTGCCAAGGGTGATATAACAGAGAATTGATGAAAGACTTCTGGGAAGATGGTGGAGTGGTGAGCAACAGAGAAAGAGCCTCTCCAAGATTCAGTGTCCTGACACTGGAATATAGCAGCATGAGGAGGAGGGAAGTAGGTCCCCAGACCTAGGAAGGATCAGAAGCAAGAACTGAAGTCCAGCGGAGAAAAAAGATAGAGATTTCAAGGAAAAAGAGGAAGATACCAGGTGGCGCCTTCTCCCAGAGCACAGACTCACATCATGGGACGGATGGGTTGAACATGCAGGTGCACAGCGACTACTGTAAACCTCAAAGGCCTCCACAGAGAAACACACAAGTGGAATGGAGCAGTGGACACAGCAGACTGCAGTGGCTGGTGAGTTGTTCAGGTTGAGATGTCACCAAGGAGAGGGCAATTGGCAGGTAGCCATCTTGGAAAGGGGCCAACTGAGCTCAGAACTCAAAACAGATACAGGCTGGCTCCATCCAGTGGCTTCTAGTGTCACAGTGAGGGTGCCAAGTTCAAACTGGCAGGAGGTCAGGGAGCAGAGTTCAAGCCTTCAGGAGGGACACAGATTGTTGCAGGCTCAACAAATCCAGTTCGAGCCTCATAGACAGAAACCAGCCTGAATTTCAGGGGAACTTACTGAGATTATCGAGTATCCCACCATAAAGGTACAGCTGGCTTGATAGGATTAATCACCTCAGATATGGACTCATCTGCTCACATTGGTTTACCAGTGACATCAGAAACATGTCTTGAATTGGACTTTTTTTCCATTTCTTTTTTTTTCTTTCTTTCTTTCCTTTTTACTCTTTTCTGCTTTTGTTCTTATTTTGTTTTGGCTTTGACTGATTGTTCTTGTTTTTATAGGAGTATGAACATGGTTTCTAGTTTTTTGTTGTTGTTCTATTCTGTTCTGGTTTTTATTTCTTACTTCCCTCTTTCCCCCCGTATTCTTCAGCAGTTTCTCAAAGTTTACCTGATCTTCCTTTGTCCTCCAGCCTTGTTTCTAATCTTTTTCATTTCTTCTATTTCTCTATTTTTCCCTCCAACCTATTTTAAGTTTTTCCCCTAAGGGTAAAATTGCCATATTGAGTGTTTATTTATTGCATACAATTTCCTGGTTTATTGTAGATTTTGTTATACAACCACAAATTTAGTTCATATGGTTAAAAGTAGTAAATTAATAGTTACCACAGTTTGTCATTTTCTAAGCTGTGTTTGATGCTATTATGATTGTTGGTTGTACTACTTTAGATACAGTGACAGAATTGTGCTAATAAGTTGTTCTTCCTGGTATACCAAGACTGAGATTGCCTAAAGGTCTTTAAAAATACTATACACCAGTGCCAAAGAACCAGATGCTGGGCCAAATAAGCAGAAACTTCTCATCCCCAAAAAATTGAAGATGTAGGATTCTGCAACAGACTCAAAACGCTAGCCAAGTGTGGTGGTGCATGCCTCTAGTTCCAGCACTGAGGAGGCTGAGGCAGGAGGATTTCTATGAGTTTGAGGCCAGCCTAGGCTACACATTGAGTTCAAGGCCAGCCTGAATTGTATAGCAAGACCCTATCCAAAAAAAAAACAATAATGCAGTCTCAAAACACAAGAGCCAGCTATACCTGGAAGACATCTCTGAGAAGTAGTCATTTTCTAAGGTGAAGAATTTAGCTCAGTGGCACCATGCCTGCCTTACAAGTGTAAGGTCTTGAGTTCAATCCCCAGTACAAAAAAAAAAAAAAAAAAAAAAAAAAAAAAAAGTAGTCATTTCCTAAGAGTTCTGAATACAAGCAATAAAACTACTCACCATAAACAATTTACAAGCATCAACCCAGGAATT